TACCCTGTGAAAAAGACCTTGGCTATTCACGCTCTCTATGTCCCTCATGATTTTATAAACCTTTATAAGGTCACCGCCAAGTCTCTGACGCTCTGGGGAAAACAACCCCAGCCTATGCAGCGTCTCCCTATTGCTTAAACTCTCCAATCCCGCCTTCATCCTTTTAAATTTTTCCTGAATTCTCTCAAGTTTAACAACAGTTTTCCAATAGCAGGGAGACCAGAATTAAATGCAGTATTCTGAAAGTGACCTCACGAATGTCCTGTACAGCTGCAACATGACGTCCAAACTCCGATACTCAGTGCACTGACTAATGAAGGCAAGCGTGCCAAATGTTGTCTTCACCACCCTGTCTATCTGTGACTCCACTTTCAAAGATCTGTGCACTGCATCCCGAGGTGGCTTGTCCTTATCAACTTTGTACAGCACAGGGTCCTGCTGATCTTGTTGGAGTCACACAGACCCCACCGGACTCAACAGCATCATGTGGAGCCACACCAAGGTCACGCAGGCCCCTCCATGTTCGACTGTGCCCCACCACAATAGATGAGCAGGCCCAAGGGTTGGCAGGACCCAACAGAGTTGTGTGAGCCCACGGTGTAATTAGGTCCTACCAGGATCCAGTAGGCACTAGCCCACTGGAGCAGATTCCAGTAATGGCAGCCGATTGTAGTTCAGTGATTAGACCTATGTGAATCAGTGCAGCTGACGTGGGTCTGTGAGGCCAATGTGGCCCTTGCAAATCAATGAAGACCATGTGAATCAGTGAGGCGAAACATAAAGCCACAGAAATTCCCATCCCTTAAATTCACCTTTTCATTGAAGTCCAACGCAGTTCTGTTGGGAGCAGGTTGAAGACCAATCTACTCAATTCCAACAATGTGTCTGAACACAAATAGTAGATGGGATCTCATCCATTTGAGAACATAAATATTTTCATACCTCCCGAATACTCCCAACTTGTGTCAAGTTATTGGCTTGTTTAATTTGTACCCCTGTGGATAGAGATTAACAAGGTCTTCTTTATTTATTCACGGGATGAGGGCATCGCTGTCTAGGCCAACATTTATTGCCCATCCCTAATTGTTCTGAGGGTACTTAAGAGTCAATCACATTGCTGTGGGTCTGGAGTCACACATGGGCCAGACCAGGAAGGATGGCACTTTCCTTCCCTAAAAGATATTACTGAACTCGAGAGGCAAAAAAAGAATGCTTTAATTCCACTAGTTAGGCTAGATTTATTTACGACCTTGGAGACGTAAGGATGCTTTTATAATTCTAGCCACCTATATTTCAATGTTCACCATAAAATGTGTGTTGGAAGTGACTATTATTTCTCCCTGTTGGAAGCGGCACTTTGTAGCTCTCACTAAATCCCAAGTGAGCACAGTTCGGAAGAATACAAGTTAATTTGCTGAGAAATTGTTTTCGCCAGTCCACATGTGCCCTTCCCCAATCAGTGAAATGTTAAGCTATATAAACACACAGCTTCTCTCTCTTTTAAATATCAGCTGGGAAAGTCAGTATATTGTATATCTGACTTTTAATTACATTACCCAAGGCAACTTTCAAATAGTCTGTGAATCATTTGATGACTCAGTTTAATCACATTCTCTCAGACCTTGTGTAAAAGCAAAGGATTCATTTATCTTGCTGTTAATTATGCAAAAATGTCAGATGAAAAGAGTTTCCAATCTCTGCATTCTTGCTACGACAGTTAAGTTTCGATTAAATTAGTTGCTAATTTTCTATTTTACCCTCAGTATCTAAAAATAAAATAACTATTACTGAGTGTGGAGTGGAGAAGGAAGCACCAAATGCTAATCTTCAGAAACTGGCCCTTGCTGTTTGATGAGCTAAGTGAGATATAAATCCAGTTTCAATTTGAAATGTCTCGTTCAATGAAAACAAATTACCTTGTATTCATCAAGCCAGTAAACATAGGCCATGTTTGTTCCAACTGTATTGAAGAGGTTAGTGTTATGGCAAGGTTCAATTCCTCATTAATTGGTTCTCAACTGCCAATCTCACTCCAGCAACTGTTATTTTTGCCTTGAGGCACAAGTTCCAACCTTCTAGGTTCTAATGCATGTCTTATTACGCTTCCAAAACATACCGTATCTTCTTTGCAAACAAGGAAGGCTCACAGATAGAACCACCATGAATATACAATTGTGTACAGATGCAGAATTTCAAGGGAATGTAAATATGAAAATGAAGGTGCAAATCAGAGAAGTCCGATGATCAGTTGTGCACTGGAACAATTATTTGCAGCATCCCTGATTACCTAGATATGCATTGTTTGTTGAGTGTGGGAGTTTGAGTTATGGCAACAGTTAAGTGAGACAACAGCAATGCTATTATGCCTAGATCATTCTGGTCCATTGTGTCATATCTGGATATATAGATTGGAGCTGCACAATCCTGATATTGTGTACTTCTTGCACCTGTCAGCAAAGTTGAGTTCAGTATTGCACCAACATAAAACTTTTAATGATGCTGCATCAATCATGGCAATGTGAACGTGGCATTGAAAATGAATGGTCACAAGGGAACTGAAAGCCCTACGCTGATAGCTGGTGTGGAGAATAGAAAGTGATATTCAGGGGGGTTGAGCTATGGTTGTGCTAAATGCAGGCATTGGAATACCCAAAAAAAAGGAAAAGATTCCATTCTGTAAATTTTGGCTTGTACTTAGCATCTCTGTGTTTGGTTCTGTTTGCTGGAGGTCATCTTTCCATCCCTGTTTGTTCATCTGTTTGTCTGTAAGCAACATTTCTCAGAGATGAAAAGACAGATTTTAACAAAACTTGGCACACACATAGTTTAACACTTGAGAAAGAACAAATTAACTTTGGGTGAACATCCAGAGTGAAACCCTGGGATTTTTAAAAGGACCCATTAACATTGAGAGATAAGGCAAATTGACTCCTGTTTTCGAGACAGTAAGAACTACAGATGCTGGTTGTTGGTTGTTTTGTTGAGAAAGTTTTTAGTTGATTTACAATATTGTGGACTTCAGATGCTGCTGAACTGCAACTTGCTATGTCTGTTTTGTTGTATGTTTGGGGTCCAGTCCTGTTCAGTTTCCAAAGTCATGCTGGAGACTATGGAACTTTATGCCAGTACTCTTCATTTACAACTTGATCTCTCCACACGTTCTCTCTGCATCTAGTTAGGTTCTAGGTTCTGTTCTTTCTCGCTGTCTCCACTAAATCATGTGATTCTGAGCTGGGTCAAAATCCCAACCCCCAACCGAAAGCATTATGGTTTTACCTACAGCACATGGACTGTAGCAATTTATAAAGCCAGTTCACATCACCTTGTCAAGGGCAAGGAAGGATAGGCATTAAATGCTGTTCCAGCCCGTGACCCACATCCCACGAGTGAATAAAAGAAGTTATCACATCATTATATATACTTCTGATGCTAACCTCATTGCTTTCCAACAGCTGTCAAAATGTGTGTAGCGCTTTCAGAGCATGTTGTTGGATGTGGATTGACCTGATGCTTTCTCAGGGAGATAGATGTAATTAAGACCAATTTCTTTTTAGCTTTGCATGTCCAGACCATTAAAATGATCTGAAGTATTGTCAAGAAAAATCAACGTAATTGTTATAACATTGTGTTAACACACTGTGGCAGAGTTTCGCATTCTCCTTCTGCCCCCTTCACTTGCTGTAAAATATGTGTGTGACTAAAACACACACATAATTGTTCAGGCTTACTGACAACTGAAAACCGAAATCAGATTTTAGGGAACTGAAACAGAGAGGTTGACAAGGCCAAGAAAGGATTCTGTTTAATGGTTTCCTTGTCAAACAATATATATTTTTAATTACTTGTGGAATGTGGGTGTCACTGGCTGGCCAGCATTTATTGACCATCCCAAGCTGTTCTTGAACTGAGTGTTGAGAGTCAACCACTTTGCCATGGGTCTGGAATCACATTTAGGCCAGGCCAGGTGAGGCAGATTTCCTTTGCTGAAGGACGCTAGTGAGCCATATAGGTTTTTTACCCCCTGTAATGTGTTCGGGCTAGGAAGTGTTTGAGCTCATGACCCATCTACTTCTATCACCAGCCTGCTGCATCCTTTTCTGTCATTTTTTTTGCAACATCAAGTATATCTTACCTTCTTTTGGCAGCTTAGGGTAAGGAAGGAGGCTCAGAAGCTGCTGCAGCGGAGAATGTGGTGTGGATGCAGCTGTTCCTTGTGGCCGCATCCTAGTGGGTCCTTTGACTAAGCTGCTTCGACAGCGGCTTTAAAGACGAGGTGGGTCGGGACTCGATTCCAGTGACTGGCCTGGGACTTCTTTCAGCAGCTTCCATGACAGTTTTCGTCAGCATTGGTCTGGGTCTCCTTGTGGCGGCTTCAGTTTGATCTGTGATTCCACGCAGCTTTTTGTCAGCATCGTGGGTGTCTGACCCGGGACTCCAACAGTAGGGGTCTGGTCCTCGAGCCCAGGACTAATTTCCCTTTTTCATAACTTCTTTTTTTTTTTATTGTACTGTTGTGGAAGGACTGTTATTCTGAACATTTTTATTTCTTTATTTGTCTAATTTATTGTGATTTTGTACTTTTGAATGTCTATTATGCTGTACTTCTTATTTCTTAATTTTTCTACTTTTTGGTAAGAATTTGTGCTCAAGCATCTGTACCTAGGCACCTTTGTACCCAAGATGGCGCCATACATGACAACGTGTAAACTTGTGAGTACATGTGACAATAAAGCTAATTCAGTTCTACTCAATCAGCTAATGGTTTCGTGGTCATCATTTTTGAAGTCAAGTTCCACCATCTGCGATGGTGGGGTTCGAACCCAGGTCACCATGACATGAGCTGAGTTCCTGTGTTAATAATCCAGCAGTAGTACCTTCCTGCTACAGTAATGTGAATATATACAAGGATGTGAATTAAAAACCAATAATTATGTTGGAATGAAATGACATGATGATTTTCTCCCCCATTTAATCCCATTTATTCTTTCTCCTTATCACAGAACCAAAGCAGATTTCCTCAAGACCTAGTCCAATGACAAATCCATCACGACAGAGAAGAGATTCAGACAGGTTCTGCCAACTCTGTAACGCTTGGTTTAATAATCCAATGATGGCCCAACAACACTACGATGGTAAGAAACACAAGAAGAATGCAGCACGAGCAGATTTATTGGAACAGCTCGGTCAGACCCTAGATCCTGAAGCACTCCGAGGTAAACCTTTGAAATAAACATATATGGAATTCAAATTCATAGCATTGACTTGCTGAGTCCCATGGCAGGGCACTGTCAGGTATTGGTTCAGTCTGTTAAGTGAATGAATGCATGACATCATACAATAACCAGGCATCAGTTCAGTCACACTACTCCATTCAGTTATTAGACTCAATATTCCTAGTTTGGGGCCTTTTGTAAATGATACCAAGATGTTGGGTCAAAGGAATGTCTGAGTAAGTTAATAGACCAGTGGGTAAATTGTCCTCAGATTGCTTCCGGTGATCATTGTAGGATCTAATTTGGAACGCCTTTGTTCAATTCTTGGCAATTAATTTACCTTCCTGACCTTGAGAGCAGGAAAGAAAAGTTCCTGCATTGCAAAGTCCTCCATGAGTTTTGTTCATTTTATCTCAGCAAGTAACTCCAGCTTTTATGCTTCCTGCCCATGCCTTTCATTTCCCAGCACTGCTAGATTCTCCAATCAGTAGCCACTCTTTCAGATATTACGCTTTAGCATTCTCTCCTTATGTGTGTGAGCCTTGCTATCTCACTCCTACGTTCAAAAGCTTTCTGAACTTTCTTTATGTTTAACTTTAAGTTTCATTCATCCATCTTTGCCCGCTTGTTTTTCTGACAGATTCATATCTGTGTTTTTCTGCAGCTTTGGAAAGCACACTAACCGACCCGTGTTGATGAGAATTTTATTTATCCATTAGTTTGTGAATATAAGAGAAAATGCTAGATTTGTGATCAGCCATAGATTTTGGGCGGAAAGTCTGTTGATGTGAAGCAGCATCCAATTTTGATATGTCGTTACTCGTCATAATCTTACAATCAAGTTCTAATTGAAATAGCAGATTTGAGCAATAATCATTACTGTCATGTCGTATGGAAACATTGGAAATATAATGAGAAATGTCCTTGCATATCTATCTCAATTTTATTGTAATATTCTGATACAGTCTGATTGCATTCACTGGTGAATTCATTACTTTAATGTATTTTCAATTGACTTGTCCTTTTATTATATGTTTCGTTTTAACATTTCGAATAAGTTATTTTTTAGTTGAGGTTAATGTATTGCAAACTGTTCTCCTTATTCATTTTCATAAATATTCTTTGGATTAATTTTAATTTTAACATGCAATATTTATTTCTCAGCTTTATTGTTAATGGCACAACTTTCATTTCCTTTTTCAAATTTTATATGGTACATTTATTCTGCTTTTGTTTTAACACTTTTAGCTGATTAACTGCACTTATAACGTGTTTCATTTTTATTTGTCATTTTAGTTTACTGTCTTTTTGAACATGAAGTTTATTTTACCTTGTAGTAATAAAATCATGCATGTTTAAAAGCCAAGATTATCTGACCTCTTCGAAATTGCTGCTTTTTTTTATGTTCAGGAAATCAGGCTACAATTTAAATAGTTATGTTTCATTTCAAAATGCCACAGCTGTCTAGATATTACTGAACCCTTGTAACAGCTCGTGTTGTGTGCTTAGTCTGTATACTGGCAAAATGTGCCTTGTGTCACTATCTCGGCTCTTAAGTCTGACAAATCCCTTTTTTTACAAAACTAGTTACTCATGTAATTAATTAATTCAATTAATTAATTAAAATTAATTCTTTAGCAATACGATCTACATTTCATGGTTTGTGCTTGTCCAGTTCTGGTCACCCAATTATATGAAGGATATTATTAAGCTGGAGAGGGTTCAGAAGAGATTTACCAGGATATTGCCAGGTATGGAAGGTTTGAGTTATAAAGAAAGGCTAAATAGGCTGGGACTTCTTTGACTGGAGTGGGGGAGGTTGAGAGGTGACCTCATAGAAGTTTATAAAATAATGAGGATTATAGATAGAGTTAATGGTGTGTTGTCTTTTAGTATTTAAGTCCTCCTTAACTGGATGACTTAAATACAAGTGTTGGACATAGTGAAGCTGGTCAGATCCATGTATTTTATGTCAAATCCATGCTACCTGCTTATCTCAGTGAATGCTGTGAAGACTAGCTGCAGCATGGTTCAGGTATAGACCATCCCAATGGGACACCTCACATTTGCCCCATTATTGGTGCCAGTGCTCCATCAGACAGAGCTTTCTACTACCAAGCTCGTCATTCAGCCACACATTAATTTCCCCAATCTTATCTGTCCGAAGCAAATTTGTTGGTGGCTTAGGTAATAATTCAGTGATGATGCCCTTTTATGTTCTAATTTTAATACGATGCCTAATTCCCGATTCTGACTGTCCAGAACCTCTTTGCTGGCGACGTCATGAGTATCCACGTGAATCACAACAACTGAATCCTCCCCCTCCCACTGTCAGTTCATCTCCAGTCCTAACTCTGACACTGGACAGGCAACACAACCTTCTGTATTCTTGCTCATTGCTGCTGAGAGCAAAGTAGATATCCATCAGTGCACTGTGCCTTACTACCAGGACATTCCTTTTTGCTCCCTTCGTTTGAATGGCTTCCTGTACTATGTGTCATGGTCTTCCACGCTGTAGCCCTCAGTTTCATCCAAGCAAGTAGAAAGAAACTTAAACCTGTTAGACAATTGGACAGGCTGAAGTGCTGCTCCATCCTCTCCTCTGAATACCCTCAGCTTCCTCCTTCATATTCTTACCCTGCTATCTCTGACCACTGACTAAATCAAAAGGATCTATTCTAAGAGTTGTGACCACCTCCAGGTGTGAAATATCTTAGCAACCTTTCCCCTCTCTGATGCCTGGCAGTGTCTGTAGTTCAGCCTTCAACTCATTAACTCTGAACCAAAGCTACTGGAGTTGCAAACAGTTATCGAAAACATGTTGGCTCTCGGTTCATACTGAATTCCAGGAGCTCCCACATGGCACACCACCTGTCCTGCCATCATTAATGAATTCTAATGAACAACTTAATTATTCTATTCAAGTAATTATTTTTGTATTTTATGTACATTTTCAGTCTTACCACCAGCTCCTTTACTATTTTGAACCTTCGGAGTAACTACTTTAATACCTTAATTACTTAACAAATATTCAGCAAGCACCTTACTCTTTACCCTGTAGAAACAATTTCAAGAGGGTGAAAAACATTAGAAAATACAAAGAAGCATCTCTTTGCTCCTCACCAAACTCTCTTATTCACCCAACCCCGAGCATTTTGCTCAAAGTCACATACAGTGCTAAGTTACCCTGAGATGCTTCTAATCGTGAGCTGCTGAATTGAAGAATTAGCTCAGCCCAGGCACAGAAAATACAGTTTCAGCTGGTTTTCTGAAATCACCAACTTCAGCCCCAAAAAAGTCAGTCCGAGTGTTCCCCAACTGTAAATCTTGGATGAACCAGGAAATCCACTCCCGACCGAAGACAAGACGTGCAGCATTCAAGTTGGGTGACTCGGACCAATACAGAAAATCCACCACAAAGCAATCAGGGAGGCCAACAGGCAGTACCAGACCAAGTTAGAGGCCCAGACTTACCAAACATCTTCCAGCTGTCTAGGCAAGCCCTAAATGACATTACAGGATACAAAATGAAGTGGTGTAAGATAACAGACAATGACACATCCCTCCCTAACACAATCAATGCTTTTCAGTGATAGCAGGAACCGCAGATGCTGCAGAATCCGAGACAACAAGGTGCAGAGCTGGATGAACACAGCAGGCCAAGCAGCATCATAGGAGCAGAAAGGCTGACGTTTCGGGCCTAGACCCTTCATCAGAAATGCCCCGGCCGAGCACTCAGATCCTGTGCAGACCAACTGGTGGAGGTGTTCACCGACATCTTCAACCTCTCCCTCCCACAAACAGAAGTCCACACCTGTTTCAAGAAGACCGCCATCATCCCAGTACCCAAGAAAACCTTCATGACTATCACCCAGGGCTCTGACTTCAATAATCATGAAGTGCTTCGAGAGGCAGGTCATGGCCCAAGTCAACTCCAGTCTCCCAACCTGTCTTGATCCTCGAAAGTTTGCCTACCAACATAACATGTCCACAGAGGATGCCATATCTCTAGCCCTGCACTCATCCCTGGGACATCTGGAAAACAAAGACACCTATGTCAGACTCCTGCTCGTTGACTACAGCTCCACCTTCAACACCATTATCCCCTCCAGACTGATCTTAAAACTTGTGTGACCTTGGTCTAGGCCCTGCCCTCTGCATCTGGATACTCAGCTTTCTGACTCATAGGCCGTAATCAGTGAGGATAGGTAGCTGCACCTCCCCCACACTGGACCCCCCACCCCTCGCAAGGCTGCGTCCTACTGTACTTCCTGTACATCTACAACTGTGTTTCAAATTCCAAACGAATGCCTTCTACAAGTTCGCTGACAACACCACCGTAGTGGGACAGGTATCTAACAACAATAAGTCAAACTGCAGAAGCGAGATAGAGGTTTTGATGACATGGTGCTTTGAAAACAATCTGTCTCCCAACATCAGCAAAACTAAAGAACTGACCATCAACTTCAGAAAGAAGGAAGGAGAACATGCCCCTATCTACATCAACAGAGCTGAGACTGAGAGAGTGAAGAGCACCAATTTCCTTGGAGTGACAATAACTGACAACCTGTACTGGACTTCCCACGTAAGTGCGACAGTCGTGAAGGCACAACAACACCTATTCCTCCTCTGCCTGCTCAGGAAATTTGACATGTCCATAAAGTCCCTCACCAACTTCTACAGATGCACCATTGAAAGCATACTGTCCGGGTGCATAACGGCCTGGTATGGCAACTGCTCTATCCAGGACCATAAGAAGCTGCAGAAGGTGGTGTGTACAGCCCAGACCATCTTGGAAGCCAACTTTCCATCCATGAACTCTATTTACATGGCCTGCCGCCGCGGAAAGGCTGCCAACTTCATCAAAGACCCACCACACCCTGGTAATGATCTCCCCTGGTATGTATACACTGCTAGCTATTCAACCTCTACAACCTCTTCTGTCAGGCAGAAGATATAAAAGCCTGAACACACACACAAGCAGGTTCAGGAACAGCTTC